CCAACACTCCCTCCCTCGGCATGTGATTTACATGACATCATTGATTAAATGTGTGTGTGCTGCGAACAACGCCCTAACTTTCTGGTGTGGATACTCTCACTTCCTTCTTTGCTGGGCATGTTCGGACATCACCCCACCATCTGTTATGATCTCATCCTTTAAGGTCCCTTAAGGTCCCCATCCTGCTTACATCAGCTCTTTCCACACACACACAGACTTTTACTTCTTACTCAGTTATACATTTGTTAAATCACTTCATTATCATTATGTTTTACATACTTGCTTTAAAATGATTACTTATTATATGCTTTGTGTCCCCTTATCCTACTTTCATATCGAACTGTATTCTTTCATTTAAGGCAGCGTTCCTGGGATCTCAATCCTCTTTTTTGTCAGCAGTCGAACTTCTCTTGAGGCTTGGGCAGTGTTACTTCCTACCCAAGTCTCTCCTCCTCGGGTCCTTCGTACACGAACGGCCGCCTCTCTCGGCCGCCAGGATTCTTCTTCTTGGACTCAACGTACTCCTTTTCCGTCGAGTCCCTGTTCGGGCGCCACGTGTTAGATCCAGGGGTTCTCTGGCCCGATACGGGGCTACCTACTGACTCAGCTCTCTATTAAAAGATTGTCGAGCTGGTGTTCTGTCGAGGAAACTCGCCTGGCTTCTGTGTGTGCTGCGAACAACACCCTAACTTTCTGTGTGTGGATACTCTCACTTCCTTCATTTTCGAGTGTGTTTCAGGTTACACCCGTGGACATGTTCGGACATCACCCCAACATCTGTTATGATCTCATCCTTTAAGGTCCCCACCCTGCTTACATCAGCTCTTTCCACCCATACACAGACTTCACTTCTTACTCAGTTATACATACATTATTATTATCAGTTTACATTTGTTAAATCACTTCATTATTCTTATGTTATACATACTTGCTTTAAAATGATTACTGTGATTTCATCCTTACTCATTATATGCTTTGTGTCCCTTTATCCTACTTTCATATCGAACTGTATTCCTTCATTTAAGGCAGCTTTCCCGGGATCTCAACCCTCTTTTTTTTGACAGATGAAACGAAAATACTAGTTGTTTTCTCGTTTATGCCACTTTGGATTTAATTCAGTCAACAATCTATCAAACATACACGGACCGTGAAGCCCCGGAGCCCTCATGTGTAAGGAGCAGGTGGCTGCATGTTGGACTACAAAGTGAAGCCGATGCCGAAGTTCCATGAACCTGCATTCTCTCTATTGGCCATCGGGGGGGGGGGGGGGGGGGAAGACTCCTCTGATTTTATACTGTAGAAGTCTATGAGAAAATGACTCGACTTCTGTCTGTCTGTCTGTCTGTCTGTCTGTCTGTCTGTCTGTCTGTCTGCCTGCCTGCGTGCGTGCGCGCGCGCGCGCGTGCGATGCCTATACTGCTCTGCTGTTTATATGCCACAACTCGCTCAAGCATCTGTGGTGGTGTCTTCGACTAGTCATACTGGAACCATCCTTGCTTTAGGTGACTCTGTACAGCTACAACTGGTCCGTGGACCTGGGCGCCTCTCTGAATCGTGAGCTGGTCCGCCTCGTCAAGTGGCAGAACGCGAGGGCTCACGTCGTCCACTGCCTGCTCAACCAGAAGATGGGGCTCTTTCATCACTACTGCTTCTCTGACGCGCCCATCCACGAAATGGACTCCAAGCAGGTAAAGACACCGACACGGTTCCTAATGTGGAGCATCGCCAGCGGCAGAACGTTGGCCAAGCTGTCATTACATCAGCTGCATATTACAATATCCAAACCAATTCAGTGGTCAATTTGACATGATGTAGACAGGAATTTGCTCCAGTGGGTTTTTTTTAATGGAAGGATTTCAAAAAAAAAAAGGAATAAAAGTAAAGTTTAAAGGTACAGTTCTTGGCAGCCGTTCACTTCTTTTACAGTCAACAGAACAATATAATGAGACGGACCTTAGCAGGACTTTCAGGATGAAATATCGATGTCCTCCATTAGAATTGGCTACCTCACTGACTTCTGCAGACATGCTGACACACTTCAGATGTGTCACCAAACAGCAGCTGTATTGCCTTCTGTTTCAAACTGCCAGTCAGCACGTGTGCGTACGATGGGGGCTGGGAGCTGCTGCGGAGAGGCTGCTGCTAGTTCAGGTGGAATCAGCCTGCCAGCACAGCATCTGGATTCACACTGTTGCAGGAGGGAGCGAGTCCTGGGGCACATTTCATACAGCTGTTGTATCCTGGGGAGGAAATGCCGGTGACAAGTGATGATGTCATTACCTGTACACTAGCAGCCTGTTTGACGTGTGCTTCTCATGGTATTCATTTCTACACGCTGAATTATCTACCTGCACGCACGTTGTTTCTACTTGTACCACGAGACAACATTTGTAACCACTTCTACCCAGAGTGATGATGCTTACATTTAGTAATCACATGTTTTAGGTTGTAGTGGTCGACCTGCCTGATCAGATAGTGATCCGATCTATTTCGTGGTCAGAGGAGCGACTGTAAAACTGTGGATAAACAAATTTGATTAAGACTTATTTTGATATATAAAATCTTTTATTTTGAAGGAACATTGTCAGCAAATGTTGTTTTTTCATCAGCAGTAACTAACCAGGACTCAGACGGCAGGTCTTAGCTGTGCTCCAGTCCCGGTTTTAGACAAAAAGACGAAAGCTGCCTTGTTATTTAGATTGAAGTGTATTCGTTGGCTAGTATTGAAACTATGTACTTACAGAGTTATTAGTAAATTGAAGTGAATTTTTGAGTTAAAATTGAATCAATTCCTGATGAAACCAGTGTTCCAGGTGACATTCAGTATAGATGCTGGACTCCCTTCCATGGTCCTGTCCCCTGCAGTTTGTTGCTGCATGTTTTGTGTTTTGAGCATCTCAGCAAAAATGCTGGAGCTTCCTGTATTAACTATGGAGCCGCAGATCAATGTGCGACTGATGGACTCGGCTGCACAAACCAAAACAAGATTTCCCAGCTACACGACTAAGCATTTTATTCTCCTCTATTCCTTCCCCCTCTGCATTTCCTGTTGATGACGTCCTGGAAATACAACCCGTCAGGTCGACGGCCTTGTTTTTTCTAAATGAAACGCTTAACTACCTCGATGCAATTTAGTCCCCGTCAGATCCCATTTATCCTCTTGCATTATTTACGACCGGCTCTGGTGCAGAGAGGTCTGAGTGGGGGAGTTTTCACGGCCTGTAGTTTTTTTTAAGTGTACTTCCAGTGGCAAAACTTGTTTGCTCAGCATATTCAACAACCCGCCTTCCTTCACACTCCTCCACCTGCTCTCCTCTCCGCGTTCACATCAGGAGTCAGCTGTCATATACAGCCTCACTGCTCCTACTGGCGAGTAAGAGGACGGTGGTGCAGAGAGACTCTGGTCAGAAGCTGGACACCTGACGCAGTGTAGAACACCACGGGAGCACTGGAGATTTTGCAAGAAGAGCAGTGTCCCTCAACTGTGTACAGACTTTCTTTGTCCCATTAAATGTAATAATTAGATTAATAATGAGAACCTCTTTAGGAAAGCAAGGCTTGAGCTCCAAAGTGTTGCAAGAGAGCTGCAAGAATTCTGCTTCCAGTGCAACGACGGCCCTCGTGTCATGCTGAATGGGTGGAAGGTATGAAGATTAAACTAGGCGCAATGACCAACCAGGCAAAGTGGATCCTGTTAGTAGCTTGATTTGGTGACGTGCACAATCTCAACTGATGTGACAATGATCAAGTGGTATGTGTAGGAGCTCAGACTGTTTCACATTACCAGTGTGCTCCTGCTGTTGTGGTTCAGGGATGTGCAGCAAAGTAAATACACTTTTGTTAAATTAAATCTCCACTCAGAGAAGCGTTAGCCAGCTAGTTTCCCAGCATGGGAATAAAAGGATGGACAGAGTAGGAGGAAGGGAGTGGGCTGGATGGGTTAATACGGTCCGCGTCAATCTGGCCGTGGCGACTGTCACAAAGCATGCGACGCAGTTGAGCTTGAATTAAGAAAGGTTACAGAAAAGCGTCATGCTCCGTGTTGCCCCTGTGTTGTTGTGTGGAGCGGGCTGCAGCAGGGATTTATTAGAGCAGCGTTTCACAGAAGACACCAAATGCCCTTTTGGCCTCTCCCCCACGGCCAATTACAAAACAAGCTCAAAGAATGGAAAGAACCAAACTTTTTCCCCTTTCCCTCCGACGGCCCCGCTCTTCATCGCTGCGTCACTAATGAGTGCGGACAGAAGGCAGAGTCAGAGCAGCAGAAAATTTGCCTGAACAGAGCTTCATCTGTCATGGTCATGATGAGAAGCAGAGGGAGCACCAGCGCACACTTAGAGCCCTCCAGCCCGTGAGGCACGGCGCAGCCAGCTCTGCCACACTGGGGCATCTGGGCCCTGAGCTGCTCCGCTGAGCAAATTCGCCCAAAAGTTCCTTTTTCAACAGCAACCAGGGCACACGAACAATGCTCTGGACATGTATGTAGCCACTGATGATAACAACCACTAACGCCAATAGACGGTGCAGGGAAAATACTCTATATACGTTGGATGGTGGAAGGATGGAATGAATCTTCCGATTGAAAGACGCCCCAATCTTTAGCATCCCAGCTGATCATGCAGACATTAATCTGTCATGGCACAGTCTACCGTACTGCTGCCAAGAGCGGAGTCTCCTCCTTACCTACTATTGATTATGCACAAACCAAGCGTGGGGCAGAGCTGTAGGAGCTGGGTGCCACTTTACTGTTTGTTATTGAATCAAGAGTGTGTGGAGGGGGGAGTTCAGGGAGAGGAGAGCAGGTTCCTCCAGGTGGGCCAAAGAGTTCCTGGTTGTTTGCAGCGTCAGCTTTCTCTCCAGTCTTAGCGTTGAGGTGCCCACAGATGAAGGTTTGAAGTGGTTTATTTCCCCTCTAGGAGGAAAGCACTTTACTGTAGTGAGGGCTAGATATCTTGATCTGCACTTATTACGTCTTTGCTCATTTTCATCATTCGTCATTTTGATCGAATGGGTTAGTTCCAATCTACTCCACAGAACCAGGCCTTCTGAGTCCCTACCTTGGCTGGTTAATGAAACAAGTGTAGCTGTGAGGACAGCCAGTGGAGCTGTCTCCTCTGTGCCATGTCTCTTGTAAGAGTCTTTAATCTCTTTAATGAAATCAGGATTTCTGCTTTTTAATCCAAATGCAGATAGTTATTTGAAAATATTTCATCTTTCAATGTGTTATAAAAACAACATAAACAAACAATACGAGTATCAACTACAAGGAATAAGTAACTAAGTTAGATGAAATAAAAACAACATTTGAGCTCATCCCTAAAGTCTTCAGTGGAGAGAAGATGGTCATTGATAGAATTGAACTTGAATATTCCTAAAATTGGTTAGATGATGCTTTCACTCTAACAGGAAGCGTTATTATTTAATAGAACCAATCCTCTGTCTTTGCTGTCTTTTCGGTGAAGCCTTTAAAGTCAAACCATCCACATGTCCTCTGCCCTTGTCTTCCTTTCTCTCTTCCAGGACCCCAACCCGTTCCTGAGCCCCTCCATGGAGCCTGATGCGTTGCTGCGTAGCGCAGTGCCTCCTCTGCCCAGTAAAGAGCAGGGCAGGCTGGGAAGCTCTGGCCGAAGTCTCGCTCCACTCCACTTCCCCTCTGAGCTGCTGCCCTTTGACGAGGCTCTGAGGGACGTGTGCGCCATCCGGCCCTTGACGGAGGGGGACGTGGTGGCCCGACACGGCGGCCAGCTCTTGGAGATCAAAGTTGCTGAGCGAAGAGGTTAATTATGCTACTGCTACAACTACTGCTACTGCTAATAATAATAATATCATTCCTGTCCTATGAGCCCATCAAACCCCACACTGGACAGAAAGGGTGATGACTCTGTGTTTGTGCTGACAGAACTGGAGAAACAGATGAAGATAGAGAACCTGTTTGTGACGTGGCAGCAGAGGTCAGCACAATCCAACATGCCCATTTCAGTAAGTAGCCCAAGTCATGGTTCTGAGACGTGGCAAAATATTTGTAACTGGGTGCTAAATTCCAAATGAGTTGCTTCCACACGGCTCCCAACATGGCATTGCATAAAGTTGAGGTCTTGGCTACTTAATGCAAATCAGGGACGTCCAGCGAGATTCGCCACCTCTGGTAACTCCAGAAAAACTGACCGTTGTCGATCTAAAATGAAGACGGATCTAGCAACTGTATGGAATTTATCTCTCCTCAAATGTTGTCCGAAACACCTTTCGGTGAACTATTTTATGTAATATAAGAAGAAAAGTTTCCAAACAGGCCACCATGTTGGACGGTTTGAATGACGGGAACCCCTCGTCCAAAAACGCACCTGTGGACACGCACCACGCGCTGACAGAGCTAACCGTGTTTACCTGAGGGGGGTCCGGAGGGTGAGTGTGACCCTTCCACGATGACACTGTATCAGCTGTGCCATTATGAACGCAGTGCAGAGCCTTTGGAAACAAAAGCAAGGAGACGCTGGATTACAGCGCACACTGCTCAAGTAGACATTACTCCGCTATGTCTCGACATTAATAAGATAATTGTTTGCTGTTATATTAATGCCCTGAATAGTGTATCAAGATGCTTTGAATACAGTATTGTAATAGTTGAAGGCTATGTTCACACTGCAGGGGGAAGTGGACAGCTGCTATTGATTCTCCTCATGTGCAGATCAAGTCACAACAGATCAAGTCACATTGATATCTGACGTCTGTCTGATGTTTAACAATGACACAAGTCTCATTTGAGGTTGTTTCACTTCAATCTATCACTTTCACGAGGAAAGGTGAACACAGCAGTTCTGGAAGTATTCAGCAGAGGGACAGTTAGGACTAACTTGTTTGTAATGTTTCCGCATTGCGAGAAAACCAAACAGGTTTAGTCGTTAACCTTTTACAAGTTTGAATACACACCAAGAAATAGCTGATAAAAGACAGAAGAACGTGGCTGCACTACCAACACAGCTCAGCTCCAACTGTTGCTGTACTTGCTCCTTTTGTGATTATAGTCATGACAAGCAGCTCTGTGGAGCTCACCATCAAGACATCAGACTCTGTGTAATAGTTAACACAGAAGAATCCCTAGGCTCTGTGTGTGCATTCAAACAACGCAGGGTTTGTCATGGTTGAGGATACAACCAGTTAAAAGGGTTTGTAAATCTGGTGTGATATTGTGCTTTTGCTCGTGGGTTGGTTCAGAAAGGTCTGAATGGTGTTAGATATTGGACACAATAAAAAAAGCATAATGTGAGCAATCAACAACAAATTGGATCTGACCAGTACATTTCTGTACGTTGAAAGTAGCTTAATATGAAATAAAGCTAATTGGACTCGACAAAGCCTGGGGGAGTGGTGCCTCTCACCACTTGATGGCTTTACGGATTCACAGTTCCGGTCCATTCCTCGGGGGAAATCATTTAGTATCGCCTCTTTTCAAAGTGGGGAATATCTGGGGTTAATTAAAAAAGCTTCATGTCACCGTCTTCCACGGTGACATCTCAACAGGAGCTACATGGTGGCATTAAATTCATGAATTAGATATTTCAACAGACACCCACAGAGCACTCGAACTCAAGCACGTCCAAGAGGAGATCTACAGCTTGACCCGGACATGACGGGGACCACTGGCAATTGGGTTTTAGGTGGATTTTCATGCCACTGGATGGACTAAATCAAGATTAGATATGATGTGACTGCATCGTAGTCATGTCTGGATCTGAATATCAAGCCCCGTGTACAGCGTTTAGTATTCATCTTTTAAAATCCTTGATGTCACTATCTTATCCGAACACGTTTGTCTCAATAGGGCACTGATTTGGAGACCCTGAAGCAGTCGTCCAGGCTGGTCCACTACTGTGCCACCCCTCTCCTCTTCGACCCCATCTTCCGCAAGCAGATCCAAGAGGAGCAGATCGTTCAGCCTCCAGTGAAGGTATGTCTGCTCAAACAGCCACAGTGGGCTGAAAGAGCTGCAGACGACAGGCTCTTACTGTGGTTTGGGACCAGCACACCTCCGCACCAACACTTTGAGCCCACCATATGTCAGGGCCTTGGGCATCTCAGGGCTCGTGTTGCACATGGACCTGTGCCAGAGAGATTGGTTGGTCCTCCTACTTCAGGACTTGCTCAGTTTTGTTTCCACTGCCTGTGGATTTGGAAAATGATGAAGTGATGACATTTTGGATGGACTTGGATGCAAACTGCAACTGTAGTAGTTGGTTGAGGCTACAATCACGTGGCGGTAATTTTACTTATTTTATTTGTTCTGTCCTTCTGCTCATTCTGTCCCCTGAGCGAGCCCTGAAAAGGCCTCCTCTTAAGCTTGAATGGGTCCACCTCCAGGACCAGTCACCAGCCATGAAGACTTTGAACATGGTCCATGTGTAATCCAGGACTTTACCCAGAAACTCCATATAGCCGGGTACTCCAAGACAACAGGCGACCTGCTCGGTCTGTGGGGAACACTCAACACACAGTGGGGTCAGCTAAAACCATCTCCGTCCACACGGGCGTTTCAGCATTGTTTGCGAAATGATTTCCGTCCATACCAGCACACCTGAATGACTCAGCACACATGACTCTTCACATCAAGTAGATTGGTTGCTTAGTATTATAGTAGTCTTTAACAATAAAGAGTCGTGCTTGATACTTAAGATCTTACTTAGTTACAAGGCTGCGGGTCTCTCTCTCTCTCTCTCACTCACACACATCAAAGGTACTTTAAAATGAACACTTACAAATCAACGGTCCATCAATGTGGTCAGCACACGTCTCTCTCTCGTTTCCTCTCGGTGTCGTCACTCGTAGCTCTGCTGGTGGCTGAAGTCCCTGTCATACTGGAGG